AAATACTGTGAAATATTCAGAACTTGCCACTTCATTTGCACTTTTTCTTTTTCCCTTGTGACTATTTTGGAGCAATTGGGTGGAGCCAGAGATGCAGGGAAAGATCAAGCTGCCGGGCAAACATTTTCCATGTTTCATCTAATGAAGCTGATCATAGCCTGGGAAATTCAGTAGAATCTCTCAGCATCCCTATTAAATATATTACTTTTCTAATAGGAAATTTCTTCTTCCTATCAAATTTTAGGGAAAAAATACCAGACTTAGTTGACTTCAGTACACTGTGAGTCTGGTGGTGGTTCTTTGATCTCTGCACTATGTATGTCATACCTAGAAGGTGATGCATAATATGTTCCAAAGACATGGAGAAGTCAAGGTCCCTTTCTTTTTTAAGTTTCCTCCCTGTTTGGAGAATGGATTTTGGAAGATGTGTGTATGAATTTGGACAGAAGCACATAAATGCATCTCTGGGCTTTCCAGTAGCTTTATCTATTGTCAGCTTTCAATTTGGGTATGTTTTTAGAATTACACAAAAGTTGTATAATTTATAATTTACAAACAAGGGTTCAACTACACATTTATAATGTTGAGGTATTGGGAATGTTTGTAATGAAGAATAGATTAGATGCTTTCATATTTCTCCTCAATACTTGTGCCTTTATTTTGCAGATGTGTTCCATTGCATGATAAAAACATTAAAATGTATCTGTTACTAATTTGGCTTGAACAAAACTTTAGCCAGTTGCTTATGTGGGCTTTGGCAATCAAATATCCTTCAGCTGACATTCATCATAAATTTCTTCAGTCTAGTGAGTGCAGAGAAAAAAAAAAAAAAAAAGCCAACAACCCGTGTTAATCATCAGACACAGGGTATGAGCATCTTCTGTTCTGTGTGGGAGCTGGGTGGTGACAAACTCTGCAAGTCACCCAGCTGTGGCACATTATGCGGTGGCTTCTTGGTGGGATGTGCTGAGGCAGCACTCATCCTGTGAGCAGAAGTGGATTTGGATTATGCTAAAAAGGGAATGATTTATTAGAATATCCTTAATTTTTGTGTTGGTTTTTTTTCATGTGTCACTGGCTGTCCATGCTCAGGTGCTGGCAGCAGGGACTGTGGGGGTTACTGGGAGGGGAGGCTGGGACTGCCCTCCAGCTGGTTCCAGCTCGTTCTGCCTGGCTCCAGCAACCCCACCACAGGGCATGGCCCAGACCCTTGGCCATGCTGGCCGAGCCTCAGGAACAGAGGGTGTAAGAACTCGCAAAATGCTGCTTGCAGCAAGAACTGAGAGGGAAAATGTGAGAGAAGTGTGAGGTGAAGCCCGGAGAGCCCTGAGGGGAGAGGAGGAGCCATAGGCTCGGGGCAGGTAGGGCTCTGTATAGCCAAAGGTATTCCAGTAGCTCCATGGGAAGAAGAATGCAGGGTTGGGTGTTTAAGTAGACCACACATTACAGAAAAAAAGGAGGCATTTTTTGTGTTTGTGCTGTTTAGGTCTTTTAATAACGCACTGCTAAGTGACCCCATAGGAACATTCTAATTAATCAGAGAAAATGGAGAAGAGAGATTTGAGGGGAAAAAAAAATGTCTTGTGCTGGTAAACTTCAGACCCCATAGAGGAAAGAATTTTCAGTGAGTACTGTAGCTGTTGACATAGCTTCTGTTATGGTTACATCTGTGTTTGCTTTTCTGAGTGTGGCTTTGCCAACATAGCTAAAAGAGAGTCATCTGGAGTCTGGTCTTTTTTGTGCATTACACTTAGGATTTAGTAAAGGTCTTGAACCAGATGTTATTGAAGTTGATGGTAGCATTTTGACAAACAGTAGTGAGTTTTGGAACTGCCTCTGTCCTAATAAGTGACATCAGACCACATGGTGAGTGAAAAAGAAAAGTTAGCTCCCCAGTTTGAAGTATATAAAGCACAGCTGTTATTTTGAAAGTTTCATCAAAGGCCTCAGGTACAGGTGGTGAATCTGTCTTGTCCCCTTTATCTTTGCCTGGTGTATTTCTTTTCCCTCTAACTTCTTATATTCTAATAATATAATTAAATCTTCCTAATATATATCTTAAGATAAAAGGTGGCAGCTGTAATGGAAAGAACTGATCACAAATTAATTTTTTTATTGACAATGTCTGCAGTAAATTTGTAATAAGCTTAAGAAAATGTAGAACAGATCTTAGCAATAAACTGAGGCCATTTCTTTTTGGATGACTGTCCACTAAGGATCATCCTCACTGCAGCTGGGCTCAGAATATCATTGATGGTGGTCACAAACAATCTACTCTTTAATATCCAGGATACGAAGTCCCTTTGACATCTGCCATCTCCATTCCAGTCAAACACTCACTGGCACAACATTGACTGTAATTGAACTTGCAAATTGCTTCACTTTCTGAAATGCTGGCTGCTTAATTATTATGGGGAAAATAGCATTCTACAGCCATAAGCTCAGATAGCTGTGTAACTCAGAAACTATGCAATTACACATGTGAATAATACTTGCTGTGATTTATGATAATGTTAGCAGCAATACACAGAAGGACTGCTCTGCAGACCTTGTCTTACTTTAGTGTGGAACGGAGCAAAGAAGCAGGATGAACCACAAAAACGGAGTGAAGGGAAGAAGTGCAGGCCTGGGCCTTGCTTACTTTTATCATAAAGGTGTTCAAGTTCACCCAAACATGCTTCAAGAGGTTGTGCAATTCCAAATCCCAGCTCAACAGGAAATACACAGGTTTTCCATGGGTTATTGTCCAGTCACTTAATTTATCCTTAGCTTCAGGTTTCCATCTGAAAAACAAGGATTACAAGGACCCATTTTTTCAGGTATGCTATGAGGATTTAGCAGAGATCACTTTGAGATGCCTTTAAATATTATGTCTATATGAATTGCCATGAGTGTCTGTATAACAAAATAGAATTTTTTTCTGAAAACAGTGTGATTTTGATGCTGCAGTTTTTTTGAGGAATGTGTGTGAAAACCACTATGCTTCATTTTAGCCTGGAGAAGGAATGACAGAGCAGCTCTAATCCTAGTCTGGCTGAAAGGAGCACATTCAAAACAACGCAGAGAAATTGAGGATTACTCTGGATGAGCTATTGCAAACATCAGAAGTTGTCACTATTAACATGATGTGGCTTTGCTGGCTCCCCATTTAGCAGCTATCCCATTTAGATCCACCTGTTTTTCCTGTATGAGGCTGCTTGTGTGGTGTCTCCGTACACTACAAATAATATCTATATTCCAGTGAATTTAGCGCAGAGTGGATTTTAGCTCAAGCTAACTCTGTGCTAGTGGCTGATACAGTCTACATTCATGTCTCTCTGGTAGACTGACACAGCAAATAAGTTGTTCATAAATCTTTAGTTTCCTCAGAAACCTCTGTGGTGTTTTTTTCCTGATTTTTTTTTTTTTTTTTTTTCCTCGTGGAAAGTATGTAGGCCTCTGTCTGTGGATTCTTAATTACTCTATAACAAAACAGCTGTGAAGCCTGAAAAGACTGCACTCATATTACAGTCTTAAAATAGTGGATGGACTTGATGCTTTTCCTTCCAACTGTCTTGCAATTGCTGTCATAAGAAGGGATAATAATTGCATTACTCTGTACTGTCACTACACTCCTTTTCATATGAATAGGTTGATTTAGTGCCACCATGTTGGGATGCTATGAAAATGAGACATCTAAACTTAAGACTGTTTTATCTTTTCCTGTCTCATTAAGAGCCAAATCCTGGGGACCAAGCACAGATTTTAAGTAAATCCTTTGCATGCTCTGTTGCATCATGTGGTTACAAGCTTTACAAAAGTGATGCAGGTTGTCCATTACTTTTTCATATACATATACATATACATATTACTAGAAAAATATATGTAAAGTAATGTTTTAGGATAAAAAGGGATTGAACCTAAAAGGAGAGAGTAGCACAGTGAGCAGAACAGAAATCTTCCATTTTTCAGTGCCATAGTCAATTGACAAAGTTGTGGGGTTTTTTTATTATAGAGATACTATATAGAATATTTTAGGTCGGGGACAAAAAGTAAGAAGTTCTCATTGTTGGGAGTCCAGAAATGTAGCTGCTTCAAGGTTCTTCAGAGATAGAGAACATTTGTTTTACTATAAGCAATAGCAGAATTAACTAAAGCAAAGTGGTTGTGTAAATCTGCAAGTGAAATCTAGAAAAGTAACAAAAATACCAGGCAAAGAAAAATTACTCTAATTTGTTCTGTTAAACATTTATCTTTAAATATAGACTACAGGATTTTTATTTTTTTCAGTCTAAATATACAAACTGACACTAACCCTAAAATCAACTTTATGCAGAGAAGGCTTAACTGAGGAATTCATCTCGATGTAATAAGCACAGCTCCACTGTGAGATCAATGGTGATATTTAAGCTGAAGATAGGACTCAGCTTTCTAATTTACCAGCAGCATATGAAATAATCACTTATGCTGGCC